TTGCCTCTTGATAACGGTAAGTCTATTTTCTCCAGTCATTCATTGATTTGGGACACATAGTCTGAGAAGGACAAAATACTTATGGGGATAATGGGATAAGATATGCGAAGTTATATCTGTTCTAGAAAACCCAGAAAGAATAACTGAAATTCAAAACGAAAACAAACAAAAACCAGGAAAATATGGAAAATAAGAAAAAAAAAGTTATGTTTGGAAACAAACGAAGAAATTATGATTGTGTTCTGTACAGAGTACAGTTTTTAAATATGGACTACTTATTATATCAAACATTCAACAACTAATCATGTAAGAGGAGGTTTTTCTCAGTTGTTCTAGGCCAACTCTTATATTCTTCCCCAGGGATAACTTTATACTACAGGCTTGCCAGGGAGGCTGGAAGATCATGCTCTTTTCCTAGAGGGCATGCCTGGCTTGTCACAAACAGAATGTGGAAATGTAACAAACCTCGTGAAAGCACCTCCTTGTGATTCTGGGAATGAAACTGAAGTCCTGAGAATCACAGATGATATTTTCACTACTACTTTTAATTTACATTTGAAAGAAAAAGGAGGATTAGGTAACTATAGGTGGGGGATACCGAAGTAAAGCCAATGGATGGATATATAAATACAACTAAAAATGGGTTTTGAGTTTCTGAGACATGGCTTAAGAAAATAGGCCAAGAATGAAATACATCTCAGAAAGGCTGGGAAGTACATGTTTGCTGGGCAACTTGCCAAATCTGATTTTCGTTTAACATTTTGAACTGAACATGGGGACTGATAATGCCCAGATAAAACTATGAAACTCTTTATTAAGAAAAATGGATATGACATAAAAAAGAAAATAATGGTGACAAAAGCATTCGATGTTTGCAGAGGTTGACAGCTTCAAGACGACACTTACATCCTCAGCTGTTTGTACACAAAGTATGAGAGAGAATGAAACGAGATGGAAAGGCCTATCTTTTTTTTTAAAGAAATGACCTACTAGAGCACTAGTCTGCTTTATTTTAAGTCAAGAAGAAATATATATGCACGTAACTCTATGAACTGTAGGTAGAGGAAAATTGAAAAGCACTAGGCAAAGAGGAAAGAGCTAAGAAACAGAAGAGGGTAGGGTAGGAATGTACCACAAGGTGATAATTTCTTACACAGATCACAAAATAGGCACGAAGTGACCTTTAGTAGTGCTGTAAGATTTGAACTATCCAGACATCTGCTGGAAGTCCCACTTGAGGCCAAAGCAATGCTTCTGGTAATTGTGTGACTTGCCTTGCTGACGACTTCATCGCTGGAGGAAATGAGGAGGGCAACTGATAACTTGTACCCTAATTCTGACTAAGGCAGAAGAGCTGGTGGGTGATGAACCTGCTGAGTTTGGGATGAGTGAGAAGCAAAACATGGGGTATATATTTACACATACACCAGAAGAAAGGGAAGAAGGCTTTAAAAAAAATTAAGAGGAAAGATGTTTGAGGACCAAAATAGAAAGGTACACTGACAGGGTTAGACATGTATTAAAAATAGATCTGACGGCAGGATTGTGGACTGTTTTGATAAGGAAGAAAAACGCTATTTAAGGACCTGAGGTACTTGTACAAGAGGCTCTAAGGAGGACAGAAGGGCACCTGGCCAAAAGCAAGTATAAAGCACATGGCACGGACCTATGACAGCCATGCCAAGAAAGCCCAAACTCCTTCCTGTAAGCATCTCTGCTCTGGCTCTGTGCTCTGTAATCCCTGATCACTCTGAGGAAGGCTGCTTGGGCTGCTCACTGACATGCTCTGCCACCACAGGCACAGGGCTGGGTCACTCATCCAGGGCTCTGCATCCTCTCCTCTATATGACCCGGGGAGATGAGACATGCCTTCCAAGTGCGAATGTGAAAAGGGGACAGGCCCATAGCTTGAAACACACAATGGAATGCCAAGAGATGACAGAAGAATAATAGACCTCTTAATTCTTTCTTTGTTCCAACTTCAATGTCAAGAATTACTTTCTGTGTGCAAAGTGTGCATAAACCCTGCTAAGAGGGAACTGAGAGAGGAAGGTCACTGAAGGACAGCTTCACTATCTAGTATTTATTCCGTGTGCATATTTCTTCCTTATCCAGTTAGATTTAAGAGCTGAATACTCACTGAATTCTTGCTGAATAAACAGTAAAGGAATGTATGCATCCTCACATACAAGACCCAGATGCTATGCTACTTCTTAGCAGACACTCCTGTTCCTCTTGCAATTCTAGGATTGAAGCACTTTTAGGTGACAACATTTTACACTATTAGAGGTTTAGGAAAGATCCACAAATGAAGGATACTGAATGAAAGCTGACAAGTAATTAGCAATTTTTAGATAAGAAAAAAAGTTACTTATTACTCTGAATAAAAACTAAAAAAATTCAGTTGAGGGGAGTCAGTATTAGTAGACTTGTGTTGTTAAAAACTGTATCAAGTGTTTCAAAAACAAAGCAATTACACCCTATCATATGGATAAATAATGAAAGCTAAGGGTGTAAATATACAGTGGGATCATATGTGCACTTAGCTTATGTAAATTCAACTATATGTTCTTAACAATTAAAAGGAGAGAAAAAGAATTTTCAAAGTATTTCATTAGGAATTTTACATATATGAAAAGTATGTCATTACAGGTTAATTCTGATTACATGCAAGTTAAGATGTGACCACTCTTTGACCACTTTCTTCTATGACTGCTAATGTCAATGCAAGATAATTAAAACCCATTTACCAATACATTGCTAGATACAAACCTATAGATTTCAACATTCTTGTTCTTTTGTCTAGAGAGTTTGGAGGCACTTGCTTCTCCAGCTACAATTATAGCATTGTTCTCCATGACAACACCAGTACACACGGTTCCTAAACCCTCTCCATACTTGGGAGACGAGATGAAATAGGTCTTCTGTGACGTGGGGTCGTAACAAAAACTGGCATCCCCATAGTTCCTGTGCCTTGACCTGATTCCTGACGAATTGTTGCCAATGCAGAGCAAAAGGCTAGTAGTCTCCATGCCGTAACGAAGATTTGGGGAGTGTGGCTGGGGGGTCTTGAGGGCTTTGAATGCATTTTGAATTATGTCGATGCAGTCCGCATCACACAGAAGCATTGTGTTCCTTTTCAGGGCTTGTCTTAAAAAGGAAGGATTTACAAGTTCCAATCTGACTTGCTTCAAAAGCTCAACAAGATGCTCGGTGCGCAGTACTGGGTTATGATTTACCCATCTCAGAACTAAGTCCAGAATGCTCTCCTCTCTGGATATGTTAAGGTCATCCGATTTAATAAGCGTCAGAAATTGGTACAATTCAATTTCCAGGATTTCTTCATGTAAGCTCACCTCAGCAAAGTGTTGATACAAGTATTTCTTTGAGTGGTCAGATAAATCTTCAGCTCCAATCTGCTTTGCAAAATAATAGATACCTACACAGTTCGAAGCA